GTCCACCTGTGGCCTTACTCCCAAGTCGACCCCTGTTCTTCAGCTGTTCCCTTCGTCTGGCAACTCTGTGCAAGCGCACACTGGGAAGAGGCTCCAGCTGTTTGTCTGCCTCACTGATGTCTGATTCTGAAGCCAGATGGCCTGGTTCCCCTCTGCCTCCAACACAGAGCCCTCATCTGCGCCTTCCCCAGACTCCAGGACTGGTCCAGGTTCCTCCCCAACCTCCTCACTATCCGAATCTGCTGCCAGCTCTGCTGGCCACTAGCAGGCCACAACAGGCGGGCAGCCTCCTTACTTGGGGGCAGCTGCTTCAGTCCCCGGGGGAGGCTCACTCCCAGAGGGCGGCGTTTCCTCTGCTGGCGTGGGCTCCTGGGGAGGCTCTGATTCGGTGCCCGTCATTGGCTCCCTTTCAGTCGGGCTGCCAGATGGCGTATCCTCGGATCCCACAGCACTATGGTCACTGGTGTTACCCTAAAGAAAAGGAACAAGGTGATCTCCAGGCCCTGGAAGGCGTTTCCGGGCCGCGATTCTACATTCCTGCTTTGTGTTCCCCGGAGTTAAAAACTGGCTCTCACCTCTAGTCGGTTCAGGATACCTTGAATGTCCCGTAACATATGCTGGGCCATAACAAGACGGACACGAGGTTCACTCTGCGAGGAGGAAAAAATACCCTGTTATTGGAAGGCCTGAGAGGACCTCGAATCAGAATTCCTCCTGCCCTCCAGATCCCTCCTTGGGTAAAACCAACTCTTCTCATTTCTTGATTTCCTTAAGGCCATGTCTGGGCCCTCCCCGAGTTGAATCGACTCACCCCACAGCCCCTTTCTAAATCTGTGATCATCCTGCCTCCTTTTCAGTTTTGACCCGTATTGCTTTTCTACTTACTTGGTCCCTCAAGTTAAGGTTTGTTTCCTATAACCATGATGGCTCTGCTAAGCCCTCGGGCAGAAAGAACCCCTATGTGTTACTAACACAAAACCTCCCTGTCTAACAGAAGAGGCAGACGGGGAACCTAAGATCATTTAAGTAAAGGAGACATCAAGCTTTCTACGTCCCAATTTCCTCCATCTAAGGCAGAGGTCCTCAGACTTTTTGAACAAGGGGCCAATTCACGGTCCCTCAGACTGTTGGGGGGGGGGACAGACTGGCTGGGCGGGCGTGGCTAGGTGGTCATATGTCTGGGCAATTCTTCTATCCCTGAAGAATTGCAAATATTTTTCACATTGAGAGTCTTCCTAAATTGAGCTTTCCAGAGTCTAAACATCTTTTTTCTATCATGGTGACCAAAACATTTCAATCAACAAACTTTGTAAAAATAAAAAAAGTAAAAGGTGGGGGGCTTTTCTAGAAGTCAAATAACAATCTAAGCCCGTTTCTCAACCTTGGCGACTTTTAAGTCCTTTGGACTTCAGCTCCCAGAATCCCCCAGCCAGCTGGCTGGGGAATTCTGGGAGTTGAAGTCCACAGGACTTAAAAGTCGCCAAGGTTGAGAAACACTGATTCTAAGCGGCCTCTCAATCAACCAGATATCCTTACATCATGCTACAATCAAGAATCCTGGTTATGCCCCCCATATTAAAACAAATCCATCCATTTTAGCATTAAAATTCTGTCCTTCCCAACCCAACTTGTACCTGAATAGGAGCCTGGTCCATATTTATATGAACGTCCACAGACGATCCATCGTTCTTTGGAAAGCAGGGAGTGGGAAATAGACAGAGAAAAAAATTAAAAGGGCCAAAAAAAAAAAGGAGGTAGGTGTGTGCAGGAGAAAAGAACAAAACAGAGCAGAAAGAAGGTAAAAACTAAAATAAAACCACACACAACCCAGTAGATCAAATTGCAACATCATCCAAGGGCTGCTTCCCACCCCAATGTGGTAGATTCTTGAAATTACACATCACTTGAAAGATACTTTTCTTGAAATAACGCCAAATACCAAGGTTTATTATTTTCATGGCTTTCCCTGTCACAAATCACGATTAGTACACCGTTCGGACATGAATGTGCGCTCTTCGGAGTTTGTTTATGCTCCTGTGAATTCATGGCCGTGTATCACGAGTCCAATAACTTCCCAAATAGGTGCAGGAGTAAAAAGAAATATTAATTATGAAGATAAAGGTAAGGGTTCCCCTCGCACATATGTGCTAGTCATTCCCCAGTGTTCATCTCCATTTCAAAGCCGAAAAGGCAGTGCTATCCGAAGACATCTCCTTGGTCATGTGGCTGGTATGACTAAAGGCCGAAGGCGCATGGAACTTTGTTACTTTCCCACCAAAGGTGGTCCGTATTTTTTCTACTTGCATTTTTGCATGCTTTCAAACTGCTACGTTGGCAGAAGCTGGGACAAGTAACGGGAGCTCACTCCGTTACGTGGCGCTCGGGATTCGAACTTCCGTCCTTTCTGATTGACAAAACTCAGCATCTTAAGTCACTGAGCCACCACATCCCTTTATTTAATTTACCTTCAATAATTATTGGAAGGAACAAATAATGACTTTCAAAGAGGCCGTCTAGAATTCTTTAGCCACTTCTTGTTTCGGTTTTTATTTTTATTCCGCGTGCACCACAAAGGAATTAGAAACAGGTTTTGTTTTTTTTTAAGATGGGGCAGAATTCTATGGGAGGTACTGTATTTTTCGGAGTATAAGACTCACCAAGGTTTTGAAAAGGCAAATTAAAAAAATAAAAGGTTTTGCACTCTGCAAACCACCCAAAAATGCCCGTTTTCGTGGAAATGGGCCCAGTTTGTTTTTTTTTTAAAGGGCATGAATAGTCTTTGGTGAGTCTTATAGAGTGCTCCTGGGAGCTGAGGAGCAAAATTGAACAAATAATGAGCCGTTTTTTGCTCATTTCTGCCCTCCCCACTCCCCAGGAGCTCTCTGAAAGCCTTCTAAAGACTATTCATGCCCTTTAAAAAAAAAACAAACTGGGCCCATTTCCACGAAAACGGGCATTTTTGGGTG